TGTCATCTCTAAAAAGTTTTTAAATGTCATTTGCACTATCTTCTGCTTTTTCATTGACTCTGATCAATCTTATTTTATTCTTTCTTGCATCATCTAGCAGTTTCTGGATTGATTTCTTATCATCTCTTGCTATTTTTAAGACTTTTTTTTTAATGATGGCTAGCCACAATCCCAATTTCCATATCCAAGATTTTGTCCTCACATTGGCTCATTCTGTGGTGTATATATTTAATACAAGTAATGTCCTGGATATCTGTTTGAATCTGTTTTATGGGTTCCATTTCTTTCCTATGTTGGGAAGTCATAATTTTCATCATTTCCTGGGCTCCTCTGTTTTTTATCTTCATCTTCCCTAGAGTCACTAAGCATGCCTTTCATTTTGGTCATCATCACTTTAGTTATCCAAGAAATTACTTCTGATTTCATTTCTTCTATAGCCTCCTTTGTTTGCCTTGTTACCTCCACAGGTGCCACCCGAGAGAGTCCAGGTGGTTAGCTTTCAATTGCCACATCCTGTTGCCCTCTGGTTTTGCCTTTGGTTAGCGAGATGTCTGGACTTCCATCTTATTTAAGTCTCTTGTATTTTTCTTTTTTTAGTTTAGTTGCTGTGTTGATGCTCATAGATTTCTTTGAGTATGTAGCTTTATTGCTAGTATGTAAAACCATTAAGAAATGTCTACTTATCAGAAATGTCTTCAGGAGTAGCTATCTTTTGGGTCTTCCATCTCTTGCAAGATCCTAGTTCTTCCATTTTTGGGGGATGAGAAGTTGTTGCTCACTTGGTCCAACCCCTGTTTTTTTGGGACTAACCTGTAGTATTTCATATAACACTTAAGAAATCTCAGTCTTGGTATATCAGGAAGAATAACTGATTAGAACAATTATGTCACTCTGACTAAAATGGTTCAATCAGCAATAATAGGAGCATCAAACATAGACTAGAAAATGACAAACTGAGGAAAGTATTAATTTTGTTTGTTTAACTATATGGACTATAGCTGTGGTTCTATAGCAAAATGTAAAACTAATCAAAAACTGTATGCAGTAAATGAGCCCTTAAATGGCAATTTTATCCTTAGAGGAAAAATTTTCTAAAATGTTGTGGGAAAAATAGATAAATAGAAGAAGAGGAATAGATAAGAAATGAGGCAAGAAGACAAAGGAACATCCAGCAAACTTTGGGAAACTGGTGCAGAACACAGGAGGGAAATATAGAAAGAAGAGATAAAAACACAAAAGGAACAGAACAACAGCAACAAAACATCTAGAAACTATGTTCAAAATCATCTGGAAACAAGAACAAACAATGAAGAAGAAAACAAAACAAAACAAAATAAGAAAATTGAGAGGGAAAAAAATTAACAGAAAAATATGCCCACTTCCTGTGTGACTCTGTTGTCAGTGTTAGACATGTGGGTAGACAGATCCATGTTGATTAATCCCAGTAAGCCAACAGTAGTTTTAGGGCAGGGTAGTGGATAATCTCAGTGAGTCTGCACCTTTATTTCTACTGAAGTTCAGGCTGGTTTCTGGCTGTGAGGCCGGAATCAGACCCACTCAGCCTGCAGCAGTCAGTGTGCCTCATGTGGGCTTGAACTCAGCTTTTAGCCACTAGGTGGAGTCAGCAGTTGCTCTGAGTTCCAAATTCAGTTGCCCCCTCTCTGAGATGAATTGGGGGGCAATCACCCTCTCCTGCAGGGTGTCTGAACCAAAAAAACTCACCTGCCACTGCAGTCCACTGCATCCTCTGCTCCACTCCACTTGTGCATTTCTTCATGGAAGCTTCTAGGGTTGCCTGTATGCCAGTAGTCACCATGCATCTGCAGGTTTAAGCGACTCTTCTTACACAATGAGCCAGATCTCACAGAGAAAGCACCACCTGCCACCTCCTTCTTCACTGAAGTTTCTCTCTTCACACTCTCTGTGGACTTCTCACTTCAGATCCTTCCTTGGTCCCTGACATCCACCTTTGTCCTTATTGTCTTCCTCATATTGCTGCATTTGTCTGCACACCAAATCTCAGAGAGGCTCTTTCCCTGGGGCTCACCCCTCTGTGATCTTTCCAGAAGTTGAAAAACCAGTACAATATTTCTTTTTTTTAAATTTGCCATTGCAAAACTAGAACTGGTATCTCAGTACTTTTTTAAGTTTTTATTTGTCGAGTGAGATTAAAAGCCTCTTGTTTTTTTTTTTCTCTTAAACTCTGCATTTGTAGCTGTAGCAGACTTACATAGGATTAGTGGGTTTATTTTATTTCTTGTTTTTAGAAAGTTGGTACTTTTTTTCTGTATTAAATCCTATGTGATACAACACTTAATTTTTCCAGGTTGTCTTACCATTTGCTGTTTCAGTGAATTTTATGTCACACAAAAGTGACTCTGTTCATATGGGAGCCTGTGTTCCCTTGTTTCTTCTCACTATATAAAATTTCCATACTCACTACATGCAGCTGCAGCTACAGAGCTGTCCACTGAGAGAAAATCCACTCCTACTCCCCTTGCTCCTAGCAGCCTTCTTCTTATAAAATTGTGACTGTTCAAAGGTTTCAAAGCTCAGACAAGTAAGAAAAAAATACTTTGTAGGGATGAGGGTAAACTGGAAATGCTTGCCTTTTTAAAATGATGCCTTGAATGGAAATACTCAACACCACTAAACATCATGAACATGTAAATTAAACCCACAATGAAGTGCAACCTCAAGCCAGTGAGAATTACTATGACAATACAGACAACTTGTGGAGCTTGTAGACAGGGAGTTCTTATTCACTGTTGGTGAGAATGTAAATTAATACACTCTCTATGGAAGACACTGTAGAAGATCCTAAAAAATTAAAATAGTGTATGATCTAGAAATCCCACTACTGGGTATACAGCCAAGAAAATAAAACTCAGCATATTGAAGACACCTGAAGTCCTATATTTATTGTAACTGTATTCACAATATGTAGGGTATGGGATCAACCTGAGTTATGGATAAATGTGTGGAGAAAAAGTATGCATGAACCATGGGATCCTAGTCAGCCATAAGAGACTGTGACATCCTGTCCTTTGCTACTACATTGGTACACTGGAAAATAACTAAATAAGCCAGGTCTGGGGAGACAAATACTAAATGATCTCACAAGAATGGAATATAAAAAACCTAATCTAATGGAAAATGAGAATAAGTCCCACAGAAGCGCCTGTTCTCCCTTAGTGATCATTTAACACTTCCACAAATTTAAATATTTTCAAAGTTCTCGAAAGTATACAAACCAAATAAAATGCTTTACAGATTATTGTGATTTGTGAAACACTTTAAAAATAGTTCAGTAATGTTTACTTAAAGAATGGATATATTTAATGTGTTATCAGTATTAAGCATAATATGAACATGAACTTTTATTTTACTTATTAGTTACTAATGTTCAACCTGCGGAAATTTTATTTTATTTTTTATTTTATTTATTTATTTATTTATTTATTTAGTGGTACCGGGGATCGAACTCACGACCTGGTACTTGCCGGGCAGGTGCTTATGCCACTGAGCTATATCCCCAGCCAACCTGTTGAAGTTTAAATATAGTAGCTGTAAATTTAACCCAAAAGTAAATGTATAAGTGCATGTACAGAAAAAAAATTTTTGGAATAAATTGCTTCATGTACACCAAGCACAACATTAAGGCAAAACAAACAAACACAGGATAAAAAGTATATTTAATAGTTTTAGCTTTGTATTTGTGTGAGGTTTGCCTAAAAATGAATGTGCCAGAAAAATAGTTAACAAGAAAATAATTTGATATAATTGCTAGTGTATCCAAATAATAGATGCTTTTGAATCTTTCATTACCAAGTATAAGTTTTAGTTCATTTACATTTGACAATAATGCAAAAACAATTTAGAAAGAGACTGGATACTGTTGTTCTAATTGTAATGTTGCATTTTGTATTGAATGTTTTTAAAACACACCATGCACAAAACAATTATTGAATTCATTTGATAAAATTTTTATTTTTATACTTCCAATTACATTATTTTATAAAATTTAACAATAGTCCAATTATTCCTCATCTAGTATTTAAGTAATTGAACTTGATAAGTAGTAAAAATTGTTACCTGATATGTTCCACTGCAGGAAAAATATTGTTATAGAAAAGGAAACTTGTACATGTCCATATACTATATTTGTATAGGTACATATTAGTATAAATTAAATTTTAAGAAGTTGTGTGAGGTTTACAGTATTTTGTTACTTTCTGCAGCACCCATGATATGCTCCAGACAATGATATTGATAACAATTCCAGCTATTATGTAAAATGTTGTATTACTTAAGTAAGCACATATTCTCATCAGATGTTCCAGCACGAGGTCTTTAACCACAGTTCTTTTGAGTCTTTATTCATCCACAAATATCTGATAGGTATTCTGATATTTTCCTTAAGTTCTTACATCAGCTATAAGCTAGAGCACTTCATCATCAGTAAAATATGAGTATTTAGGTCACAGAAAGGAATCATAGAATGGGTTAAGTTCATGAACCAAGGTACCATTGCATAACATAAAGTTAGCTCTTTAGGTCCGTACAATTCTGTGACACTTAGCACATTTACAACATTGGGCCGTCATCCCTCTCCAGTTCCTTAAATCAGTCCACATGGTGTTTCAGATATTTCCCTTGCTAAGAATGACCATATATTCTGCTTGTGTGGGAGAGGCCATGTTTGTTTCTGATGTCTTTTCAACCTGTTTATTTACAGCCTGGAGAGAAAGACGATGGCATTACAATGACAAAAAGAAGGTCAACATGTATCTTCCCTGTCACTCATGGACCCTACTGACTTCTCCACCCACTCGACTGAGCATGGTGTACACTTTCCAGCTACAATTCAAAAGTATGATCAGATTTTTGTGAGACTTCTCCTGTTAAGATCTAGCATTGTTGCCAGATGAAGTAACTTTACCATTCAGATACCTGTGTCAGGGAATGAAAAGATCATGATGTATGAGGGAAAAGCTCTTCTAATGTGCAGGGTGACACCTGCTCAGCTGCAGTCTCCTGAGGGCCTTCTGCATGTCCTTGTTCCTCAGGCTGTAGATGAGGGGATTCACAGTTGGTGGCACCACTGTGTAGAAGACAGAAACTAGCAAATCTAGGAATGATGGAGACTTGGGCAGGGGGTGTAAATAGGCGAAAAACCCAGAAGACAGAAACAGAGTCACCACCATGAGGTGAGGCAGGCATGTGGAGAACGCTTTGGATCGGCCTTCTCTGGAAGGCATCTTCAGAACGGTGGAGAAGATGTGGAAGTAAGAAACATCGATGAACACAAAGCAGCCGAGGTCCAACAGGAGGCTGAGCCCAATGACTACCAATTCCCCAATGTTACAGAAACAGGCAAGGGAGAGCAGCTGGGGGACATCGCAGAAGAACTGGTGGACCTCCAGAGGTCCACACATGGGCACGGAGAAGGTAGCAAGTGTGTGCAGAACTGCGTTGAGAGCACCGCTGAGCCACGAGGATGCTGCCATCTGCTCACAGGCTTGATGGCTCATGATGGTCCCGTATCTTAGTGGGTGGCAGATGGCTATGTAGCGGTCATAGGACATGACTGTGAGGAGAGCCACCTCTGTAGTGGCTAAGAGGAAGAAGAAGAAAACCTGGGACACACACCCGAGGAAGGAGATGAGGTTTAGGTTCATCAGAGAGTTCGCGATGGACTTGGGGACCGTGATGGAAATGAGACACAGGTCCAGGAAGGATAAATTCTTCAGGAAGAAGTACATGGGGCTGTGCAGGCAGGGGTCCCGGGAGGTGACTGTGATGATGAGGAGATTGCCTGTCAGGGCTGCCAGGTAAATCAGCAGGAAGAGCACGGCGTGTAGGACCTGCAGCTCTCGGACTTTGGAGAAGCCTGTGAGGAAGAACGTACTACCTGACGTGGAGTTGTCCATTTCTCCAGAACTTAAATCTGTAAAAGTAAAGCAAACAATGTGAGCCTCGACCAAAGGTCCAGCCTGTTCTGTTTCCTCATTTATCTTTCTCCAACTCACATTTGCATTTGTCAGAAAATTTGAGATCCGAGGGGATGCCTGGAAGCTCCGCGGAGGCCGCTTAACCAGAGCAGTAACCTTGAGCAGGAGGCTGCGGAAGATGCGCATCCAGAACTGTGTGCCTTAGGAGTTTATCTAAATTAAGTCTATAATTAATAACTAACTAAACAGAATTACACAAGCATACCTGGTGTTAAAATACATTCTTAGAAAAGAATGTATTTTTTTGAGCTCAGAGTCTGAAGTCCAATTTTCAGCTGACCCGTTTATTACTTTTGACTTTAAGTTATCCGAATAACAGTGTAGTCCACTTACAGTCAGTGCTTTCCTGTGTGTTGATTATTCTAGTTCAGTTGATTAACTCACTTAAAATACTGTACCTAACATGCGCTGAAGGTGTAGCTCATTGGTAGAGCACATGTTAGCATCTGCCACCTCCTTGGTTTGATACTTAGCACCTAAAATAATCTGACCACTGAAGGCCTTTATTAAATGTTCAAGCTTCCTTCCTTAAGGCAATGTCAGGAAAAGCTTTGAAAATAGGCAAACAATTAGCAAAAAGAAATTAGACAATGTCTTAGATAGATGCTTTTTGTCACTGAACTATTTTACAATTCCATAAGTTTTAGAAAAGTGTTAACAATGAAAATGATTGAAAAGACTCGATAGATCCTGAGAAAATCAGTCTGATTTCCCAGACACAGCTACACTAGAAAACTATCAGATACTTTTTGAGCTTTTGTTGTTTATTTTGTTTGTCAAGGAATCCAAATGAGTTAAATTCCCACTTAATGCAAGTCACTGGCATAATCTTGTGCAATTTTCTGTGCATAATTTCCATCCTTCTTCCCCTGTCCTTATGCATTGATTTCTCCTCTGAACCATTTGAGACACCTTAACAGCTCCTTCATAATCAATTATGTAAATAAAACCTTTCACCTGTGTTTTTTGTTATTAAAATGCCATATTTGTACATTTTATTTGTAGGAGTGTTACAATTTGATAATTAAACAGTAATCAATTATAACAATGGTAAAAATTGTAATAAAGAATGGTTAAATCAAGGTAATTAATATTTGTATCTTCTTAAAGTTAATTATTTCCACCTGTTGGAAAATGCTGTGCTCTTTGAATTGTTTTGAAATATGTTACAGACTGTTGAAGACTATAGTCTACCTGAAGGCCCCAAAAGACAAACACCAGCTATTTCTGCTTAGATCTTGATCTTGTAGAGGAGAGGATTGAAAAGTGCTCCCTGGAGACTGCAGAGGGCAGAGCAGAGCAAAGCAGTCCAGGAAGGAGGAAGGGTCATCAGAACTCAGTCCAGTGTGTCATATCCTGTGTTCAGGTCTTCACTGCATGAAAGTCATGACTTCATCCTTTTTCTAAAATATTTTATTGCCTGACACGAATAACAAAAGCTGTCACTCCCAGTCAAACATTATGAGATAACTCAATGGATCTTGGAAAAATTAGCCTAATTTCCCAGAGATAACAACACTGGAAAACTTTCAGATATTCTCTGTGCTTTTGTTATTTGCCTAAATATTGTATCTATTTCAAAATGGACCATTGTAATTGTGTAACACAATGTTCTCATTCATTTATTATATGTCACAAAGTTTTGGATTATCAGTGAACTCCTCGGCCATAGCAATGTCACCAATCAGGAACTGTTCTATGAGCAATGTGTATTTAGCTACATCTAACTGATTAGTGGGGACAAGAAGTCCTCTGTCTCTTTTGTAGCTGTTTGGTTGAGTTGCTTTTTCCCCTCTCTGTTTCTTTGCCCCTAAGCTTCCCCCACCCTCATTTTTTCAGTCTCCGTGGGTTCTTTTGTTATGCTCATAACTGAGAATTGTAAGTATCCCCCGTGTTTTTTCATCAAGCTGCTCTGTTGTCTTATCTTTGTATCCCTTCCCTCTTTGTCTCAGAGCAAGAAAGTTTCCCTGCTTCACAAGGTCGTAGCATAGTATCACAGTACCTTACACCGGGAGGACTTGTTCAGATACTTATATTGCTCAGAGGTGGTGGGCTCTGGAGAACTCCTTCATGAGACCAAACCAAGTAGACATGGGTTCTTCACAATTATGATACTGGCTTTTCAAGCTCAGCTTTTTTATTGTTCTTGATAAATCTTCTGATTCTATAGATTTTCTCTCTAAATTTTCCCTCTTTCTTGCTCTTTGAATTTCATATTCATAACTACACAGAAATTCATCTAAAATGCTGATGTTGATTTTGTGAGAGGATGCATACACTGTGGGACAATGCTAGAAGCTCAGATTCTACTCGACATGGTTAGGTAGAACTACAAAGGAATTAAAGTACAACATGGTCTCGTGCGGCAGGGAGTATATTAACACTTCAGAAAGGATGCAAACATCAGCTTTTAAAATTAATTCCAGCAGTCACTGTGTGCCACAATGCTCCCTCGCCATCAAAAGCATTTTCTCATGGTCTTCTGCGTAGCTTGGCTTTACACTACTTTCCCTCTCCATAAACTTCATATTCTTAAAAGAGCTTTCAGTATACGCTGCCTTCCAGTTCCCCCTAAATCCTTCCAGTTAAAGAAACAACTACAGCAAACCAAAAGCAAAGCATTCAGTGCATGCTGATCCAAAGTCAGCTGAGCCTTTCCTCTCTCCCTGTTAGGGACTCTCCTTGAGATTTACAAGAAACACCTGACCGGGGGCTGGGGATTTAGCTCAGCGGCAAAAGCACCTGCCTGGCAAGTGCAAGGTCGTGAGTTCGGTTCCCGGTACCGGAGAAAAACCAAAAAAAA